ACAAAAGGCGGAATCTTTATTTTTCACCTAACTGGTCTAAACGACAATGACCACGTCTCAAGTTGTATATTTATATATATATATATACCGTATATATATATATATATATATATATATATATATTATTTTCAAACCCTTGTATTTAATACACTGGCACAATATCTCCGTACATGATTATCTATTCAACACAATCAGAAGTAGGCTGTTTTCATAGCCACACCAAATGCTGGCATACTGGGATTGTGTTGTACTTATATCTCTTGTTCCTCTTCCTCTTCAATAATACCAGACAGAAGGAGAGGACAGACTATGAAAATCAAGGAGGTCATAAAGGCGTCCTACAATAATTGTAGGAACGACTGACGATACGACCCTAAAGTGCTCGATCACGTGAAAACATTCTCCCAGACGTTTATTGTTGGCCGCTCATTAACTTGTATCACATCATTAAATGACAGCTTTTGCCTGCTAAAAACATCTCCATGTCCGTCTGCTCAGTTCCAAGACATTTCCGTCCATCCATATTTGTTGATCTCAGTGATTCCAGATGTCAGCAGTCCTATGAAAGTGTCTCCCTTTTTGTTCTTCATTAACATTATCAAATTGTAATTCTTTTATGTCAGATACAAAAAGGGATAGGTTATTTGTTGTCGATTTTAATTTGTTGTGATTCTTATAAATAAATTAAGTACACCTACCCGCGCAATTTGACGTTGTCTCTCCTCTCCCAATGGTTACGTTAATAAATGAAATGTGAAATAAAATTACGCTTTGTTTTCTATCTAGCACATAGAGATTCATAAATAAAACTTATTGAATGTAAGATTGAGTTTCTGCTCAACTAGAAAAAAAAAATAATAAGAAGACAGTACAAAGTTGCAGGCTGTCTGTTGGATCTGTATTACAGATCGCATTTGACAGCTGGATCACCAGTGAGGCCGCTAGATGCGTCGCCGCCGCCAAGTCTGGTGCTATAGTAGACACGTTTACCCACCATTGAACAAAATAGTAGTATAGCTTTTATTCGTACGACCACAGATGGTCAACCATGAACAGTTGTTTCGTGCTATTTGGTGGGACGAACAAAAGCTTTAGAACTAGTATGTCCAATGCTGATCTAGCAGCTACAGTGGTAACCCAGCTATCAAATCCGATCTGTTCCAACAGACAGTTTGCTGTTTTTACTCTTGCTGTGGTCGATCCTGGTAATAGATGGCAATTTATGCTGTTTTATTTTATTAGACCTTATATACTGCATAGAGGACAGTTACTCAGCTTTCATTCGTTATCCTACCTGACACCAGGACTAGACCATGCCGATCAGTTGGCAAATAGCACAAAACTACTTCCCATGATTGGCCGTCTGTGGTCTGTCGAACGAAAGCTATATTACCAAATTTAAGAGAGTTATGATGTCTTTTTCTTCTTCCTTCCACCAGTTAAATCGTTTTCTATTATGCTTTGTCTCCATCTCTACCACAATGTTTGTGTTCCACTTTCCTAAATATACGCCTCACATACATAACATTAAAGAACGTTATTTTAAGATGAATAAATAACACCCAGTATATGTTTTCTTCATAACTGACCTACAAATCATGTTTCATGTTAACTCTGTGGCAACAATCCACATTCTCATTGCTATCAAACCCTATTTGGTAATTATGCCACAATTGTATCAGTTTTATACATTTTCAATAAGCAATTAAGGAGCCTTGCAACTACCCGGCATTGGTTCTCCCCATTACCAGCTACAATCCGATACCATTCTTATCAACATTGCCGATAACGTAGGATCGACTACGGCTGCAACTTGGACTGTTAGAGTTAGATCCTGAAGAAATGGAAATAGTGATTTTCTCCGAACAATTTACGTGTAGAATTTTTTCTTTCTTAGCTTAACACCTAATCGCGAAAGATCTAATTAGTCTTTCAAGAGGAAATCCATCGCAGGCCTGTTCAAATGATAAGCAGCTTCCAATTCTTTACGCGGAGACCATCGCACCCATGCAAAACATTACCTCCGCCCTCTCAACCGCTACTTGCACCCAAGCAGGCGGTGGCGACTGTGGCACCCACAGTATTACCCGAATCCGGCCAATGCCAAGCAGCATCCGCATCCGCCGACGCCCGAACACGTGCCGCTCTCGCGACCCTAACCTTCCCCACTTACACTCCGCGAATTGCTTGCCACCCCCCGCACCACCACCAATCACAGCACGAGCGCGTGGTACAGCTGGCGTCCCGACGCAGCACGACTGTCAGCGGTGTTGCCGGTGTGGGCAGAATGTACCCATGTGGTAGTGGTTAATGTTGGAATAGGTTATGCATAACGACTTATGTTTACATGTTTGTACTACTGGGCGCCTCTGTTTAATATTGGTAGTGTTATGCGACGTACATCAAGCAAAATTAGAAATATCAAATCACGAATGAGTTTTGGATATCCCAGGTTACGTATTCGAATGACGGATTTTCAACAACCTTGCTGGTATCCTGAGTTGTGTGCTTGGTCTTCCTCATATTACGAGTATGCGATATCTGTGTAACATTCAGGGCAAGCTACTAAATTGTGGAATTTATCCGAATGTCGTGCAAATCCATCAAGACTTAAGCTTTTCAAACCTATAACTATTGGGATTTTTGGACATCATAGCAGTCTGCTTCGCGTAAATCCAAGGAATATGGATGCGAATATTATTTTTCTGTGAAAGACGTCGCGCTTGCAATGTTTATTCTGATTAAATTACATACAATACAAGGTGGGCCACTCAGGAGCTTAATCTTGTCCATGGAAAAAAGTTTAAATGTGCTATGAATTATCATTAGATATATCTGAGGGTATACTTTATATACATTTTGAAGTAGGGTGTTCCTATACTCAGCAACACGTGGCAGTTGCATCATTTAGAGTAATAGACTTTCCCATCCCAGCATAGAAAATTTAAATATACCTGACTTTTTGCTTTTTAAATATCCAGTGCATATTTACGATACAAAGAAACTACAACTGAATAAGCTGAATGATAATTAAGAGATAAAATATACACAAAATATGTACCAAATATGTCAACTATAATTTGTTTTAAGTATAACATACCAAACTCCTTCACTGGATGAGGTCTATTCAAATATATGATAAAAAACATAGAAACAAAAAGGCAGTTCCGGGTGTATTCTCTGAACATTAGTATTATTTTTTTCATACTGAAGCAGCCACAAAGCAGAGAGACATTGGAGTTTTGCTTCGCAGGCCTAACATTTGGCGGCTTCATGAAGGAAAGCTCAGACGAGGAAAGTTCACTAGCATAACGATAAAAGAGAAGCCGACCTTCGTTGTGGGAGAGGGTCCAGACTGTCCAGTCGAACGGTCCTCTTTTGAACAGCATAATGCATTGACAGTTTCTGCAAGCACTTTATGGGAGATTGAGCCTCCACGCACGATCGGATAGTATTTATGGCATCGAGCACCAAAATTTGTAACTTGGTCATGTACTGCAAGAATGCTGATATCACAAACAGCAAGCCGCTTCTATTAACCCTTAAATGCATTCACATTAACAATAATAATAGAAGTTTGTTCCCAAGAGACACTGTCCCTATACAGAGCAATATACAATAATTTTACGAAAATATCGTCCAACTCATACGACATAAAAAGACAGAAATAAAATGTAATAGAAAAATGGTACAATATCTTTACTGAAAATTAATATGTATTAGAGAACATTCGTAGCAGCTGAATTAAATTCGTTATTTCTTTGAGCATTCCTCAACTTTTTGAAACATGACGTATATGGATTCCAAATTATTGCACATTATTCTCTCATCTTACTTACAAAAAAAAACAAACACTTTAAAGCCAAGATGTTATGGAACTTTCTACAGTTTCGCACAGTGAGGCCATATTTTTGGTAAGCTCCATGGGCTATTCGATTGATATGTTGACAATTCAATTTTACTCCTTGGATGCTGTGATCAAAAGAAACTAATCGTTACGTTTTGACAGGGTATGAAGAATCCAAAATTAATTCCCCGGGATGAGGGATATATCTCAAAAACTACTTTGTATAGGGACCTTTGGCAAATCGACACATTTGGTCTACACATTGAAATCGGTATACGTCTCAACTGAAAAGGACCAGTCCGCAAGCCAGATCTGCTTCCATCTGCAATCCATTGGAGCTCGTCAGTTTGACACCAGGCTAAAATATAAATTAAGTGATGAGACCGATTTTTTTAACCTTTTCATTCAAATACAATTACAATCTGATATCGTCAGCCTCAAAATAACTTCCTTCTGCAGTGCTGGAACTCCGATACTGGTATAGCTTTCAGTTGGTCGGTTACAGCCGTTTGATTGTTTTCGACTCTCCCAAAATGAGTTCCCTTGGGGTGATTTTCCAACTTCAGATAGGGACAAAAGTCACAAGAACTGAAGTCAGGCGATTAAGGAGGCCGAGGTGCCACAGGAATATTTTTACTGGCCAAATTCGTTCATTGACATTGTTGTGTGACAAAGCATTATCATGATACAACACCCAGTTCTTCTTGATCTGATGAACGGTAGTCTGAGTAAAATGTATCTTTTCCCCGATCATTCTAATTATCAACCGACGATCTGAATGCCCAAGATCCGGGATTCTGTCGATATTTTTGTCGGTTGAAGATGAAGACCTTCTGCTTCGCCTTTCATCTTCAATCAACTTTAGCAAGAGTTTGCACTGCGCCCAAGCCTTAAGTAAAACCACGGCGACACTTATCCGCTTTGTTACCCGGGTATAGTAATGCAAAAATTCTATACATTCCTCGTTCCAGATGATGATTATTGATCTTCGCATTATCTCCTGTGACGCTATGTGGTATAAAAATGCTCGTCCAATAATGGCTTACTTCTTATCCTAGGCATGTAATATACAAATATATCTAAATTGAATGATAATAAATGAGCAGCTTGATATTAGGATGGAAGGACCAAAATTCTGGCAATGCCGGCTGGACGCCTGTGCCGGCGTCGCCGTCCACCCCACCCCCTCCACAATCCGTGCGGCTCATTTAAGCGGCCGATAGCCCAGCCGCCGCATTACTCTGCACGCAGACAGAGACATTGCCGCGCGCACATTAACTGTGACTCACTCTAAGTCGCCGCAGTACCGCGCGGAAACGCCACTCGCACACCTTCCAACAGTCTGCACCGTGACCTATCTCTATCGTCTTGTTCCCGTCGCGCTACTTATCCCACTCAATCGATCAATCATGGACGGAGGAAAACTAGATCCCACCGGGCAGTACTAACGGAGTAGTATCAAAAGCGCTGTAGGGATGTTCCAGGGCGGATTGGACCCGACTGGGCTCTATTGAGACATGTGGAAACGTAACGACAGAGATGTGGCAGTTAGCGGGAGACGGAGGACGTAGGGAGACCTCCAGTTGTCGACGCAAAAGACTACGGTAAGTTATCATATAATTCGTAGTTACAAATCTCTACCAAGGACTCAATGAGTAAGTGGATGAAACTATCATCAAGGGCATAAAACATAACAAGACTTATTCAGCTTTTGCACGGAACTAATCAAAACCGTCCCAATTTTTCACAATGGGATCTCGTGATTTTGAATGGCATTGCGATTGATTTCTGGTAGTTCAGAATGGTGGAACGTTTCTCTGGAGAAACCCATATACCATATATAGAACTCGGATTTTACCCACCTTTAGCATTAGTTGAGTTTGCAGTTTTGAAACTTGAACATGGCAATACTAGTTCGGTTGACGTCAAAAAATGTCTCAGTAAGGAAAACTGATGACTGAACAGCAGCCAACATTCTACATTTTGACAGATTCAGAAGACATCAGCTACTCGAAAAATCAAGAATTTATTTGTGTTATAGTAATTAGATCGTTATCCAAAATACTAAATCTTTGTGGTTAGAACATAAAACTGGAAAGCATGAATTCACTTTCAGATTCTTTTATCTCATAACATACCAAAAATGGAATTTGACCAAGTTTGTTTTACTTTCTGGCTGTTTTTTTTTGTGAAGTATTTTTCAGGTATCTCGAAATCGATTCCATAGACAAAATATAGCTAAGGTTGTGAGCAAACTTTGCACAAACGCGAAGATTTTCCAGTCCTCGCTGTATAAAAATGAGACGTTCAATTAATTTGTGTTGCCTGGGACCCGAGCCTTTATGAAGGTCATGAATATTTTCCAAATAGCGATATTGCGAAAATACCTACGACGAATATTTCAAAAGGCTTGTGGCAAGGCATTATATAATACGCAAACTGAGAACCAACGATGTTTTACCACTTCTAAGTACCTCAACTGAGAGTCAGTCTGATCTCACAAAGCATCGAGATATCCTACAAAAATTGTGTCGTGGCAGATCTGATCTGCAATAAAACGTAGAAAAAAAAATCACCGTTGTTGCTGTTTTATACATTTAATATTTTCCAAGGTATTCACGCTAACGACAGATCATCGTGCATTGAATTGCATTGAAATTCTTACACCGTTATTCTCGTGTACGTTGTGTATGTGCACACAACCAATCAAAGCCAGTCATTCAATTGAGATAAAATACTTCCTGATATGATTTTTCCACCATTAGGCGGCAGTTTTCGCCTAAAAAGACCTTGCATTATTCCAAGAATAAGTTTCCTATAGATGTAATTTATACAAGGCGGAATTTGTAATTCAGAATCTTTTTATCTCCAATGATTCAACGACACGATATGCATAACTTAAAATCCAGATCAATGACGCTAGTAGGAAACAAAACATTGTTAAATATACCGTGAGTACAGTAACAATATCGGTAACAGAGTTTATCTGATAATGTTTCTTGCTCCACGTTTATAGACCATTAGGCAAATGGGTATTCGCAAAAAAAATATTTTGTCTTATAAAGCATACGTGACAAGGCAAACTTCTGCTAATCCTTGGATCTTTGTTTAGATTTTCACGTTTTTCATTCTGGAGTCAGTGCCTTCTTTCATACGTTAAAATTCATAGAAAATATGAAATATAGAAAGCCGCTCCGAGGTCTGAATGATTGAGGATCAATAAAATTGCCATCATCCTTTATCAAAGGCTCCACCCAGAATTCCAATTTCAATTAAGTTTTATTATAAAATATATAGATAAAAATCTGTTGACTGATCCCTTCCTGTAGGAGTTATTCTCAACCATCACATAGGTACCACATAACGTTGTTAGATGCCAGAAGAATGTCCAATGAATCTACATGGCTAATTGTCTAGCAGGTTCTTGAGCTGATAGTGTCTGTGGATAAGCTGAATAAATAAATAGCCTTAGATATTGTACGCTCTACCATTTAATAAGACTTCTTGGTTCGATCAATTCAATGGACCAAATAAAACTGCATTAATACGTTGAAATTACATTTAACTGACGTTTAGATCATCACGGTGGCCCAGTTCACTGTACTTTGAAAAAGGCCACCGTGGTGCCGAAACACCAGTAAGGTTAAATTAAATGAATACCACAGGATAAGTCACATTTAATATCTGATAATCAAAATGGTGGAATATTACCATGAAAGTATCCTTCAACTGAATAAAAAATCCAAATTAAGTCCATATAAAAATGATCTTTTTTGAACTTACGCTTCTGCTTTTGCTTTTTAAAACGAATTCTTTATTAATGCAGAATGCGACAAGCAGCTCAGATAAGTACTGCATTCGGTTTAATACTATTGGCAGGTAGCTGGCAAGATGCTAATTGAACTAATAAAATTTAGTGCCAAATTAAAGTTTGCTTCAGGATGATCTACTTTATTCTGTCTAAATATGTATATTAATAGGTACTGAAAGGAACTTCGGTCATTAATCTGCCTAGCGGAGCATTTCCGGTGAATTATATTACTTGCCATAAAAGTATGATCTGATCATACTACACCTCCCACGATATAGAAATTTCGTTCTAATGAAATGAAAATTCTTCTACCTCGCTGAGAATGTTTTATGGCACGACCAGTAAAATAATATAAAATATGTATATACAAATTTGTAAACCTTGTATGCATATAAAATTTAATCCTTAATTGCTATCAAACTATAGGCTGGAAATGAAAAATGATGAGAAGAAAATAAGTTTGATAAGAAGGGATAGAAAAAGAATAGTTTAGAATATAAGATAGGAAATCAGGGCCCTTTCAATACTTATCTACGTACTGATACCTAGTTCCTAACATCTTGATTACACTGTACATGAATAATAACGTTTCGTCCTATTTTTATGAATGATTATCTCCTTATTGCCCTTTACAATTTTTACAGTTTGAGATATGTCTTCTACAACTAAATATGGCTTCCTGGCAGGATCCACATGTAATGGATTTATCTATTTCGGGCCTTTGCGCCCTTAGTAACACAACTTGATTTCAGGATGATTTATTTCATTCTGTCTAAAAATGTATATTGATAGGTACTGCAAGGTACCTCGGTCATTCCTCTGCCTAGCGCAGCATTTCCGGTGAATTATATCACTTGCAATACCTAACAAGTTTCTAATAACAATATATTATACAGTATGAGCTTACCATACTGCACGACTTTGAGAGTGATGCAAATCATAAATACTTCATTGTTGATAATAATTAATGAGAAAATGTGAGTTAGCTGAGAAACTGAACCAGAAAATAAAATAAATGGAGGATGGGGGAAAACATTTTCTGTTGATTTTATCTTAGCTTAGCAGCTAATCAGGATTCGTCGTATTTGAAACTACACGGTCGTTTTCCAAGCGCTTAGTTTAATTATGGTATGCAACTCGAGGAGAGCGAATGCTCCATGACTGAATAATCGCATGAAAAAAGGACTCGGTCGTCATAGCAGAGAGTGGTACCTGTGGATGATCAGTGGCGATGGCCACAAAAACAAACGATACCAGTTTTCCTGATCTTCTCGTGCGCGGCTGCGTTGGTACTGCCTCCGTTGCTTCCGCATCTCTCGATCTTCGACGCCGTTGCTGCTGCTGATGCTATGCTGCTTGCTGCTCGGTCGTTGATCTCGCGTCGCGGTTTTCGCCCACATTTTCTATCGTCGCCCATATCGCACACAGACTCTCATTAGAACGTTTCCAACGTGCTCACTGGAATTTCAAAGCAAATATTAAACATTTAAAACCTTAAGATATCGTATTACAGTAATTGAAGATTTTTGACTGCCATACAATTTATTACTTGTTCCCGCTCCCACTCACATATCTCACACTGACTCTCATCATACCATTTCCTACTTACTGTCTAGAATAACAAATAAGTACTGAGATCATCAAACTGGGAGGAGTCATATTCCAACACTTTTATCGTGCATTGAGCTTCAAGCATACAACTACTCCCACTAAAGCTTGTTTGTTTTGTGCCCATATTTTCTATCATCGGACATATCGTTTACTAACTCACATAAGGAGGTTTTGTAGGTACTCTATGAAATTCCAATACATATATCGAACACGTGAAACCTCAGAAAATCATATTTCATTTAGCCATCAACCACAATGCCTGACGATTTATCGCTTGTTCTTGCCCACGCTTCTATCATCGACTCTATCTCACTCTAACTTTGACTATTTTAGTTCCCACTTGGTGTATGAATCTTGAAGGAAATACTGATATCATCAAGATAGTAGAAGTCACATTCCTAGGACTATTTTAACGTTCATTTAGCCTTCAACCAGACAACTGCTCTCAGTACAGCAGCATTTTCTATCAGCGGCCATATCGCGCAAGAACTCAAAGCAAAGGTTAAACATTTCAAACTATAGGTCATATTCCAGCAATGCACTTAGGCTCCAACCACACTGACATACAATTTATTGTTTGTTCTCGACCACATTTTCTATCATCGCCCACATCATACATGAGCTTGTTTCCTACGCATTCTCAGGAATACCAAAGTTAATATTGAACACTTCAGGCTAAAAGAAAACATGCTCCAATAATGCAATCAAATATAGGCTTCAACCAAACTCGCAGTCTCAGTATTTTCGTTCAAATCCCTGTTAATGTATCTTAAGCCCTACCGATGCATCACACTACTACTTTCAATAAAACTGTCGTGTTTTATTATCCAACATTGTTTGAGTTTGTCTGCATTTTCTACCATTGTCTATAGGTAATCTATCGAATTTAGAAAACAAAACATACGTGAAACTGAGAAATAGCATGTTCCAACTGCGTTGTAAGTAAATCTATCACATCATCTTTCGTCGGTCATACTGCACATGAAGTGCCGTAAACTTATGTACTTGCAATTTCAACGTAAGTCTTGAGCGTCTCAAAGTACAACCATACTTTTAACATACACCTACCACTCACAGTGATGCTATTTCTCCTCATTATCCAACATTTTCTTTCGTCGGCTACATCTTTCATGAAACCTCATCATTTTGTTTTCTACATATGTACGATCTGGACTTCTAAAG